AAGTAAAATGGGATGAAATTGAAAAGCTGATAGGAACAAAGGTTATGATGATCCCTGTGATGTAGTAATTCTACTCCTAGATATAGACTCAAGAGAAATATACACATATGTGCACCTAAAGAAAAGTCCAAGAATACTCATTATTGATCATAGCCAAAAATGGAATAGTTTTCAAAATATTGTTTATAGAAAAACATGAATAAATGTATAGAAATATATATATATTTGTGGAGTGGAATATCTGTATGGAGCAATGAGAATAAACAGAATATAACTACATGCGACAGAATAGATACATTTCAATCATTTAAGTGCTGAATACAAAGCCAGACACAAGAATTCATGTGCTATGATTCCAATTTTATAATATTGAAACATGGGCAAATCTACAGTTTTAGAAATCAAGTTAGTGACTACTCTTAGTAGATAGTGACTAGCAGAAGATAGAAGGAGGCTTCCGGGTGCCTGTAATCTTTTTGTTTCTTGATTTGGGTGTAGGTACATGGATTTGCTCTGTTTGTGAAAATTGTTCCAACTGTACATTTATGATTTAGGCATTTTATATGAATTTCCTATTTTAATCAAACAAATGTAATGGTGGTGTTTGAGGAATTGATACCTTTTATTTGATAAGGTGATATAAAGATAAGGAGGTTAGATGAGGAGTTGCACAATTTCATCATATTCAGAAAGATTGAATCAAGCAGTAGCAAAACAAGAAGATTTAAAACAAAGGAGAATATTAGGACCAGAAGATAGCAGGAATGGTAATATTAATACATAGAGGGAAATGGATGTGATAGAGGATAAAATGAACAACTAACAGAATAGGGTAAAGAAAAGGGAATAATTTTCTAAAATATAAAATTTCAAGACTAGAAGGCAGGAAGTATCACTGAGAAACATGAAAATCAAGAGGATAAATGGTTTGCCTGAGTATGTTTTTCATCATTCTATGATCAGGTATTCCTAACAGCAGTGAATGTACTGATCACAGTATTGGAAAGGAGAACAGGACTGAAGAGGTTGTTTGGAAGTAACCTTCATAGCAGTGATGGTTGACGTCATGAAAGTAGCTGACATATATGTACACTGTAGAAGGAGCATATCTGGCTAATTAATACATGCATTACCTTACACAGTTATCTTATTTTGTGGTAAGAACACTTTACGTTCACTGAGCATTTTTCAAGAATAAATTTATTATTCACTATAGTCACCATGTTATATAATAGATCTCTTGAACTTATTCCTCCTGTCTAAATGAAATTTTTTTATCCTCTGACCAACATCTTCTCAACCCTTCTCCCCAACTATCCCAGCCCCTGGTAACCCCTACTCTATTCTCTCCTTTTGTGACATCGTTTTTAGATTTTGCATATGAGTGAGGTCATGTGGTATTCATCATTCAGTGTCTGGTTATTTCACTTAACATAATTTCCTCCAGATTCCATGATGTCACAAATGACAGAATTTCATTCTTTTTTATGGCTGAATAGTATTCCATTGTGTATTCCACAACGTGTATACACTTCAGAACATAATGTGGTACATAGTAAGTACTTACAATTTTATTTCCCAATGTAAACAAGAAAAGAAAGAAAGTAGATGAGTGCACTAAGGGAGAAGATAATGAAGAAAGTTAAAAGGGTTGGCACAGATTCTTGGTAAGATGCACATTTGGCAGATAAAGGGAGATAGAGGACTCTGAGAAGGGGCAGTTGGATGTAAGGGGAAGGAAAAACCAAGAGAGTGGATCACGAGGCCAGGAGTTCGAGACCAGTCTGTCCAATATGGTGAAACCCCATCTCTACTAAAAATACAAAAATTAGTTGGGCACGGTAGTGGGTGCCTGTAGTCCCAGCTACTCGGGAGGCTGAGGCGGGAGAATTGTTTGAACCTGGGAGATGGAGGTTGCAGTGAGCCAAGATCACGCCACTGCACTCCAGCCTGGGTGAAAGAGTAAGACTCTGCCTCGAAATAAAACAAAACAAAAAACAAAAACAAGAAAGCGTCTCAGGGATCGCTTGGTCAGTACTTTCAGGAGTCATAAACAAAGTAAGGATAACAAAGACAGAAAAACAATAAAAATCTGTGTTCCCTGATCACTGGAAAGTTTTATAGCAGGTGTTGGCAAATTGTAGTCAACAGGTCAAATTTGGCCTGCTGCCTACTTTTGTACATGAGCTAAGAATGGGCTTTACATTTTTAAGTGGAAAAATCAGAATAGATGTAATCAGATATGATCAGAATAATATTTGTGGCTTGTGAAAATTATGTAAAATTCAAATTTCAATGTCTATACTAAGGTGTTATTGGAACAGGGCCACACTGATTTGTTTACATAATATTCATGACTGCTCTTGCAATATAACAGAGTAACAACTCTGACAGTTGAGTAACAGAGTGATATGGTGTGAGTTGCAAAGCATATATCACTATCTTGTCCTTTACAGAAAAATTCTGCTGACCTCTCTTTTAGAGTTAAAATAGTAAATGAAATCTATGCTTAAAAATGCCTAATAGTCTATTGGGATAACACAGCTTTTCCTTGAAAAATATTGGATAATATTATAAATAGAGTTCTGAGATTCACTGCAGATAGGAAAGAACTGAATCTATTTGTGTATGTAATGGTTGACAGTTAACATCACTTTACTTTAAAAGTGTGTTCTTACATATCACTTGATGTCCAAAACAGCCTCTCAGGTAAAGATCATGGTATAGAGTTTAAAGATTTGGAAACTTAGGTTCTAATGTGACTATTCTTTGGAGAACAATTGCATTCAAAGGTAGAAAGTGATAGAGAAGTATTATCATGGAGAATGTGTGTATATTGGCATATTGTGGGCAATATTATTCATGGTTGTTGGCTTAGTGATAGAACAAAAACTCAAGAGCTATATTTTCTGATCTACATCCTGATTCTACCATTGACTGACACTATAATCTTGATCAATCACTTAATGTTTCAGAGAGACCCAATTTCCTCACTTACAAAATTGGGATAATAATAATTCCTCATAGGGCTGCTGTGAAGATTGAAGTTTAAATGTGTTCATGGTTTCTAGAAGAGTGTCTGTCACATATGTGTTAGCTGTTTTTCTTGTGATTGGTAACACATTCCAAGATCAACAGATACACAATATAATCTTATTCAGATGGCAGTGAATCAAAAAGCCTTTGACAGTTATTTGCATCAGAGTTCTGCTCTATAGATCTAAGCAGAAGCCTAAACATATAGCCACCAGGCGATATGCATCAGAGATAATCTACTTACCTAATTTTTCTTAAGCTTTGTGCCTCAGTTTCTTTGTTTAATCTGCACAAAATAATTCAATAAAGAATTTTTCACCTAGACTTTCTAAACATCAAGCATTCTCTTAAGTCTTCTTTTGGAATTTTCAGGGTGGTTGAAATCGATCTATGACATATAATAAATCACAGAAGCATTTAAAACCTTCTGCAAAGGTGTCAGTAACTTAATGTTTTGTTGCTGCTGTTGTTCCCCCTGAGAAAAAGGACCAGAGTTCTCTAGAACTTTTAATTTTGCAAACTATTGCCCAACTTTTGGACCTTATCTTGTCAGAGGTAAATGTCTGTTGTTGTAATTCACCATTTGAGTTGAGATGTTATTAAGGAGATGAACTGCAACCAATGAGCTCCCTGTCCACAACAGGGTCATTCTCAATCGTATCCAATAATTGACTGTGTTCCCTGCATGGCAGGTGGATAGCAGTTGCAATTACTATCATTTTGTGGCTACGGAAACTTAGACAGGAGGGTTAAGTAACTTCTTCGAGGTCATATTGGAAATCGGTGGCATTCCAAAAAACAGAACTTGGAGTACACTTAACCAGTTCAGCTCTTGAATAGGTTTAACTTTATTATGAGAACAGTAAATAATTTTCCATAATATACCAGTGTACATTCAGCACTGTTTGTTAGATCTAGCATTACAGATTTATGACCTCTGAGATACAGCATGTAAAGAGAAGCCCCAGTTGAACCTATCTGGAGCTATTGTAATTTGAACATTTAAACACTTTTTATAAGAATGGAGAGAATGATAATGACCGGTAGTCAAGATGGAGAAAACCTATTTCTGTTTTTGAGCTAGTTTAATGGGTTGGTGGCTTATAATTTACTTAACATGCTTGCATATTACTTTTCATTTCAGTAGTGAGCTGTGTCTTCATTTACGTGCTTTCCCATATGCCAGCAGTAGTAAAAGTTGCTCCTCTCTTACAACCTCACATAGGACACATTTCCTGAGAAAAGAAACTACAAACTACTTTTAGAGGCTAAGAAATAGCACTGTGTCAGTTAAAAACTTTGTCTTGTACAGCTTAATTTGATTCTTCATAGAAAAAATACAAACAAAATTAAAAAATGTATTGGACATATGAAAATATTTTGATAATTTTATTGAATAAGAAATAGCTACCATTTATGGAACATTCAATATGTGTCAAGCATTATGCTAAGATATTTATAGAAAATTCAAATCAAAAGTATCATTTGTTTCTTTATTATGTTAAAGTTGAGGCATGACTAATTCATCCTATAATTATACATATACACTTAGGTAGACACAGTCTCATTTCAAGTTAAATTATGTTATACATCCATCTTTTTATATGCACTTTTCTAGCAAAGGTGGTGTATTACACTAAGTTGGTGTTAATTTAAAATTTGAAATGCATTGGAAATTTGCAAAGTCCCACATTTATTTTATACAATAGATTTAAGTATGTTGGACACTAAGTTCTACAGTGCTATTCTAGATGTAACCTTATAGTTCTAGAGCAAATTATTATAATTTAATAGGTTTTTATATGAAATATTAAGCCTGGAAAGTTTTAATTGAATGACTTTAACTATATTGTGCGTCTGATTTTAAATGAACAAGTTTTATGAATATCCTATAATATCTACTTATTCCTAAAATGCTTTTGACATAGTGGAATGATTTTAATTCTAATTATCACATGTTTTAGGCTAAGATGACTCAACTGCCTGAGGCAGAAAAAGAAAAGATTGCTGAGCAAGTTGCTGATTTCAAGAAAGTAAAGAGTAAACTGGATGCTGAGATTGAGATATGGGATGATACAAGCAACGACATCATTGTTCTGGCCAAGAACATGTGTATGATCATGATGGAAATGACAGACTTCACCAGGTAATTATGTGGAAAACAATGTGTAATATTCAATGGATAAAAATATTAGTCATATTAGGGAAACCTCAAGGTTCTCTGAGTGTCAAGTGCCAAAAATCAAGTGGTAGAGGAAAAGCAAATATAGTATTAGAAAGTTGTAGGTGTACAATTCTAGAGGTTTTGATCAATAAATAAATATGGCAAAGTTTCTCATAAACTTCTGTGGAATTGGTTTAGGCACCACTTATACTCCCTCACCTTCCGCTTCCCCAGGCATTTGCTCTGTGTATCATATTAGCATTGACTTCGACAAAGAATTTGTAAACCAAGTGATTAGCTGGTATTGGAGCTATCTGAATGGTTGAGTTTCATAGCCATATAATTTTAGTTACAATGATTTATAGCATAATCAGGATAGTGGTATGTTTTGCTTCTGAGATCAGAACTAGATATATTTGAAATTACAATCACTTAATGATAGCCATGAAAAAATGTGCATTGTGGCACGTTCCAGAAGTAATAAAAATGTTTGTTATTGTTTTAAAATGACATTTTATAGAGCTAGTCAAAAAGCAATAAAATATGTAGTGGCTGCCCTACTTGTTACTAATGTACACAAACTATAACAACTAAAATAATTCAATCATGGTGTAGTTATAAAAGCCACAGAACAGAAGGATACACTGAAACAGACCTAGGACACTTAGAAAATTTTTCATTTGTATTACCATGTAGTATTCATTTATATGGTACCATGTACCATTGGTACATTCATTTATGCCCCAAAACAACTTTCAGGGGGAGCAATAAAATAACTATTAATTTTAAAATCATAATTAATGGAGAAAATGTACATAAATCTTTCAGTGATATTAAAATTGAGAAAGAGTTTATGAAAATTACATACAAAATAACTTATAAAGAAAGGATTGTTAAATTGTACTTCAAAAAATGTGCATCGATAGAATGTCCTAAGCAGTATTGAAAGGTAAATGGATAACTGGATAAACAAAAATGTGATTCCATTTATATATAAAGAATACTTGCAGACATAAAAAATTATTATTGTAGTAGAAGAATGGACAAAGAATATGATTATATTATTAACCAGTTTCCCTCATAAAAGTTATGGCAGATAAATATTTGAAAAATATTTAAAATAAAATAGTTAAAATAAGACATATTTTAAATCTATCAAGTTTGCCAAAACATTTAAAGTAGGCTTGGTACAGAGTATGGTGGTGAAAATCTAAATGGCATAAGACTTACAGTAATTTGGGAATATACATAAACTAAAAATCTTTATAAATTTTTCATATGTGCATCATGTGTATCCATATCTGTACTATACTTCGGGGAACCTATCCAAAGGAAATAATATAAAGTGATAAACTTTTTATTTTAATTTGTGATGGAGTCTTGCTATGTCGCCCAGACCGGAGTGTAGTGGCGTGATCTCGGGTCACCTCAACCTCTGCCTTTGGGGTTCAAGTGATTCTTCTGCCTCAGCCTCCCGAGTAGCAGGGACTACAGGCGCACACCACCATACCTAGCTAATTGTTGTATTTTTAGTAGAGACGGAGTTTCACCATATTGGCCTGGCTGGTCTTGAACTCCTGACCTCATGATCTGCCCACCTCGGCCTCCCAAAGGGCTGGGATTTCAGACGTGAGCCACTGCGCCTGGCCAAACTTTTCTGAATAAAGGAAACCTTTGGCCTCTGAAAGTCTGCTGAGAAATCAACTCACAAAAGGCAGATTAATAGGTGAAAAAACATAAATTTATTTATCATGTATAAATAGTAGCCTTCAGAATGAAGACCCAAAGACACAGGATAAATTGTTTATTTTTATGCTTAAGTTCAACAAAGTATGGGCAGTCATGTAGAAATATGATGGGACAAATAAGGTATGATGTTGTTAATAGACTGAGTGGGGTACCCAGCAAGGCCTGTCTGTCTAGATTTTTCTTGGCTTCTCTGAACATGTATTTCTACCTTCTGGATATGGGGTAAGACCCTCGCTGGAATAAAGGTCTTATGACCTACAGTCAGACAAGGTAGGTAGGAAAATTATTTTATGACTAGTGTTATAGAGAGAGATGGCGATCGTTTTAGAATAACGTTGTTATCACTAACTTTGGGGAGAAGGAATTCTGGCTTCTGTGACCCGCCTTGGAGAAGAAGGATTCTAGTGTTTATGACTAGCCTTAGGGGAAAATGGAACTGAGCAACAGGAGAACAGAAAAAATCAGAGAAAAACTTTTGCTTCTGAAGCTGCTACTAAGTCCTTCATTTGGGGGTATATTTTTTTCTGAGCCCCAACAGTATAACTATAGAATTATTTAAAATAATAGAAAAATTGGGATGTTTAAAAAAATGGTTGCCTGCCATATGAAAAAAGAGTCTATAGAAAATAAAGTCAAGTTTTTTAAAGAGTATAAAAGTAGTCTAAATTTTAGAATCTATTTATGTATATGGATGTATGGATATTCTCCTATGCATATTTTTCTTTGTTTTGTTTTATACCAAACTTACTCTTTACAATAGAATTCAATTCTACTTTGTATTCTTTTGAAAGAAATCCACTTTCCAAAGATTATGTGCAGTAAAGATTTCATTGGAAAGTGAGAAAATTAAATTTATTGTGTATTTTGTGTATTATACATGGAATTTCATAAAAATATCTCTTTAAATGTCTATTTCTATTTTTCCGAATTAACTCTTGACATTTTTCGAACTCTAGCCCATAGCTTCTAAATGTTTTCTTATTTCTCTTTATATAGAGAATAATTCAGTTTTGGCCCATGGTTCAATTTCTGCAGGCAAAAATTCTGAGAAATCTGTTTGTATTTGTCTCTGCCTCTCTCTTTTTCTCTGTCTCTGTTTCACTCTCTTTCTCCACACATATAATCACATGCATATATAATACAAACATATATAACATAGACATGTATATACCTGTATGCAGGAGACAAAACTATACCTTCATGGTTTTAAATAATGATTATATTTTAGTAGTTGGTTTTGTGAATAATTTAATTACTATTTTTAATCTTCTATAATTTGTTGCTGATTTAAGGTATCAATACATTTATATGAAAAACAACATATGGAATGAAACCTGAACTATAATAGCTATATTATAATATCAACTTGGTGGCCAGGTGTGGTGGCTCACACCTGTAATCCCAGTACTTTGGGAGGCCAAGGTGGGCAGGTCACCTGAGGTCGGGAGTTCAAGACCAGCCTGACCAACATGGAGAAACCCCATCTCTACTAAAAATATAAAATTAGCCATGCATGGTGGTGTTTGCCTGTAATCCCAGCAACTCGGGAGGCTGAGGCAGGAGAATCACTTGAACCCAGGAGGCAGAGGTTGCGGTGAGCTGAGATTGTGCCATTGCACTCCAACCTGGACAATAAGAGTGAAACTCTTGTCTCAATAATAATAATAATAATAATAATATCAACTTGGTAAGTGGCAATGAGAAGACTCTTAACCTTTCTCACCATAAAGTAGTATAAATAATTCATGGGGATGTATTTATAGACAGGATTTAGAACTAGAAGGAAAAACAATGAAGGGCAAAGCCATGAGGAACAGAAGCTTTGAAGAAGTGGGCAGAGAAAATAGAATCTGATAAAGAAAGAACATTCAAGTGTTAATAAGAAAAGTAACATACAAAGGAGGATGCTGGGCAGAGAATTTCAGTGAGTAATCAATGGTCTTACCTGAAGATAATGATTAAAAAGATACTAGTTTGGCAATTAGTAGATTTAGTCAATTTGTTGTTGACTTTTGCTTTACGAAATGGTGAATGAAAAAAAAAAATCTTATTTAAAAAGATAGATGAGAGAATAGCAGATCAAAAAACAGACTCAAGGTAGTAACTTAAAAGGGACAAATGATCATGACAAGATTTTTGAGACTTCCGGATGTTTGAATATATTTTAGGCTGAAGAGAAAGAGGAAATGGGGAGGGACAGAATGAAACTGTAAAAGGGGAATAAAAAGCTATAGTCAAAAATGAGATAAAGAAAAAAACAACCAAAAAAAGAAAAAAAAAACATTTAAACCAATATAAGTTTACATGGCTCTTCTTTCTGGTCACAGTTTGAATGAATGAGCTGAGAATCAGATTAGCCTTTTTGGCCACCCAGGGTAAAGACTTCCTCCAACTAGTCTGTATATCAGTTTCATTATCACTCTGTATTACTTTCCTTTTAGCAGTTATCACTTCTTGGTTTAAAGAATTCATTTGTTCACTATTTCCTGCCTCTATATCCATAACAGAGTAAAAGTTGTATGAAACTATGAAATTTGTCTTTTTTTATACCCAGAATTTATAACAGCATGTGTATATTTGCTTAGTATATATTTAATATGTAGTAGCTGAATTAATTAGATTTTTAAAATACTACTTTAATTCAGAAAGAACCAGGAACAAACAAACCAACAAAAAATTTGAACAAGAAACAAGAAAGTAAGCATAAGCTTACTTTGTGAAAGTCTTGAAAGTCACTCTCTTTGCTTGTTTTTTAGCCCATATATAGATCATAAATGTTGAGACTAAGATTTTAATTTTAATGCCCTTACAGCATTTAGAAGAGACACATAGTCAGGAGAGCTGGGACTTAAGACTCTTGGAAAAGCTTATAACCATGCCTTTAAAAGGAAAACCAGAAATATTTTCATGGACCAGTTTGATGGAGCATCAAGGGTGAATGCTTTTCCCTGAGAGGTCTTGTTTAAATAAAGGCCATCTTTAAGAAATAGAGATCCCAAGTGTGTGACCTATTAAACTGATGAATTTCAAATTGCATAATCAGAAATGCCACCATGAAAGAAAAATTAAGATGCAAGAAAGATTGGTCACCAAAGAAATTAGAAAACATGTCAATACATTCAAATAAGCCTTGGTAAAACAACATCAATAATATGGTTAGGCTTTGTGTCCCCACCGAGATCTCATCTTGAATTATCATCCTCCTAATTCCCACATGTCAAGGGAGATACCAG